CAAAACCTATTTTCTCCGATTATTTGAACCCGCTTTAACCTAACTTAACCTTTTCCCCTTTTAACACATCCATAGGTTATTCTAACTTAACTGCTCTGTGTTAATTTTGCTAATATGATTTAATATCTCAGTTTTTGCTTTTAACGCAGAGCTGAGAAGGTATTGTTTTTGAAACGATGTGTTTTTATATTTTATTTATATATTTTGTGTTAACCCGCATGTTGTTTTTCAAACCGTTTAACCGATTTCTTCATGTAGAAGGTTCACGATTATCATTCATATCTGAAAGGTACTTTTTAGGCCAATAATTTAAAAAGTTCACCTCCATTCCTTCCATTTGTGATTTATTGAATTACTGCAATAAGAAATCGTTCAGCGGCTTAAAAAATATCGTGCGGCCAGACACGACAAAAATTGTAAAAACAATACCTTCTCATTCATCCAATGATTCCCTTTCAGACTTCTCATACCAAGACGTAAAAATAATCATAACCAAAAACATACAGGACCAATGGGAAAACAAATGGGTTAAATTAACATTAAAACTACACGAGATCAAACGAACTACCTTCCCTTGGCCTTTCCCTGAGAACACCACAAGAAAACAGGAGATTTCCATTACTCGCCTCAGGATCAGTCATACACACATCACACACCAACACCTCATGAAGAGAGAAGAACCCCCCGTATGCACTTGCTGTGGCACCCCTAACCGTCAAACACATCCTCACAGAATGTCGGAGCTACGACAAGGACCGAAGAAACGCAGACCTGCCAGACCAGCTCTCCGAGTCACTGAACCTAGACCCACGCAATGTCAAAAGTATCATAAAATTCATACACAATTCCAAACTAATCAACAAAATTAAAAAATATAACTATTTCTTTCATAAAGTTACTTATTGTATAATATATAAGATTGTTAATTAATAATGTAAAATAATGTCAGTCCAATGGCCACAGCTGTCGCGGACTTAATTTAATAAAAAAAAAAAAAAATACCTTCTCAGTTACGCAAGAAGCTAAAAAATGGGAAAATTATACTTAGACTGTAGTAAATTTCAGTAGTGGGGATCATTAGTCAAAAATATTTTCATTGTGTTGTTGATTTGCCTATTGTTAACAACGGCGACGAATTATTAGGAACGATAGACGATTATCCCAAATCGTATCCACCCTAGTAATAATAATAGGTACAATTATAAATAAATGTTTGCCTTCATTCTATACCTTATCCTTTCATCTACAGATTCTCATCGAAGTGTCTATTTTATCACTTTCCGTATTATTAATTCCTAAAAACCTATGACCTCCCGATTCCAATACCCCTTGACCCCCTTTTGGTTTTTTCTTAATAAAAAAAATTTGACAACAGATTTTTGAACATTTTGTACGTGTTTTAGCCCTACTCTAGATCTACCTTCAATCTACAGACCTCAAACCTTAAAACTAAACTTTAAGAAGCAACATACATAATGAGAATATTTTTTGATATTTATTCGTTTGTAAACGAATAATATATTGGTAATAATATGTCTAAAAATAATTTTTTTATAAATTTGGAACTAATTCGATTATTTTTTTTAAAAAAAGTTGCAGCGTATCGTAGTTTTAAGTTTGGAAATTTGTACATTTTTTGGATGTGTCTCTCAATTTTGAAGGTTTAAGGATTTACAATGCTTTTATCGATATTTAATATTCGTACTATCTAAATACATTTGCATCGAGGAGTTTATTTGAAAATTATTTTCTCATATATTGTATCAGGTATGAAAACTTTCCCTTCATTTCGATTTTTTTGGTGTATTTTTAGGAAAAAAGGTCAAAAAAAATTAACTAAAAATAAATATATAGTGAGACACAGTGTATTCCATTTTCTCAAATAAAAATGGTCAACATTTTTTTTTCAGAATAGATAAAAATTCAATATTCATTCTACGGTAACAATTTTTATTATTTAACTATCTATTTTTCATAAATGATGGATTAAAATTTATTTTTCATTGAGACAAACTGTAAGAAATAATATAGTAAGAAGTACATAGTAAGAATTATTGTACTGATGACACGAATAATATTATATTATGTGTGTATGTGTAAAAGAATTTATTGATTTTAAATTGAGTTTTTTATAGACGCACAATTGCAAAACTTATAAATATATAATATATATATTTAAAAAAAAAGTTATCTCAAAACTGAAACCTAAAGCTAAATACAGTTTTATTTTATCATTGGAAATGGTACAGTTTTTTTCATTATATTTATTAAGCTTTTAAGGAAAGACTTATGGGTTCATATTTTACTAACTAAATTTTATGGCGGTATCAAATATTAAATAAATATTATCGGTGTAATAAATAGTGTACTTACAAATTTATTTTAATTCAATGCATTTTTATGGTACGCATTTTAACTCTTGATTTTGATTTTTACCTTACAAAAGATATTATAATATTGACACCTGTCTGACGTTATTCATATAAGGATATACCTAACACCAAACGACTACATAACCATCATTGGTTCTTTTGATACTTAATTTACAGGTTTTCAAATTATTTAATTGACGTTGTATGTCATGTGGAGTAATTGATTGCTAATTGAGCAAATTTAATTTACATTTTACACGTAAACTAGTTGATTAGTCGTTATTGTAATTATACAATGTAATACATATAAATGTTTTACATAATTAAATATAAATACATATATGCGTGTCGTTTTCTATAAAAAAAAAATTGAATTTACAGTTGCCACTTTCGTTTAAAATTCAAATGTATAAGTTAAAAAAAACCAGTACAGTGGAATAGGGGCATAGTGGGGACGGGGAGGTCACAGGTTTACAGGAATTTTTAAATCTGAAAGTGATAAAATCACTTTCGAAAAAACGCTTCGATGCAAATCGGTAGTTAGTATTTTCAAGGCAGTACAATCTAAACCAAGCACAGTGTAAGCTAGCAAAGTTAGAAAGTATTAAATTGAATAGGTCATTTCAAAAACGACTTAGGTCACCGATTTTTCAAAACTGTCTTTTTATCAAATGTAATAATTGTATACTTAGTTACGTATTCTGTGTGAAAACTCAATTTGTCAGACTCATATTTAATACAAATGTTGAGTACAAGAAATTTGAATCACTGCAAAATATATTTATGAAGTTTCTTGTGTAATATTTCAAATTTGTGACTTGTGTTGTTTTTTAAACGACCGATAAAATTACAAAATAGAAGCATCAAAGCGTTTCTTTGAAAGTGATTTTATTTCATTTTATCACTTTTATTTGTAATAATTTTTGTAGACCTGTGACCACTCCGTCGCCTCGTTGCTTTGATTCCATTACGCATAGGTATAATGGAAAATATATTAAAATATAGATTCCACTGTACTAGGCCTCTTGGATAAAATCACTTTCAAATAAACGCTTCAAATAGATGCTTCTATTTTGTAATTTTATCGGTCATTTAAAAAACGACACAAGTCACAAATTTGAAATATTACACTAGCCACAAGAAACTTCATAAATATATTTTGCAGTGATTCAAATTTCTTGTACTCAACAAAGGTCTTAAAATTACGGCTAAAAACCCCGAAAACAAAAAAACTTGTACCCCCCTCTAGGGGGGTGGGCATTGGGTTAAATTTAAATTTGATACAACTGACGTGCGCGGGCATGCTAAATAAATATTTCTTATAAATTTCAACTCGATCCGACTCTTTTTCTCGAAGCTATAGCCAGTAAAAGTTCTAACTTAAAACTCGTACCGTTTTTTTTTTGTTTTTTCAACTTTCGTCTGTGAAGAATTAAACTTTTTCAACTTTTACCCCCCCAAAGTACCAACTAGATGAAATTTGCGATTTATAGAGTTGCTACTCGAAGGAATTGGTCCAGTATTAAAAAAGTTACAGTGTATACAGATTAAAAAAAACACACATCAGAGTAAAACCCATACCTTCTCGCTTTGCATCGAAGCTAAAAACATATGACCATGAGAAATGAAGCTATACTTAAGTTTAACCGATAACTAATACAAAAAATACCATTATATTATTATTATTTTACATGATATTTATATAAACGGTCGTTTTAATGATGTGGAGACAATTAATGTGTTCTAACTTTTTATTTATTTAGTTTATATTAAACTGATAAACGATAAAAAAATGTTTGGAAATTTGACGATTGGTTTAAGAAATAGAGTCAAATGTTAAATAATTTTATGTAAAATTTTAATAAATAACGACATTTGATTTAATTAGATTAATAAAGCTATTATGGTAGGACCCCTGTAATATATTGACGTGTTTCGTGTTTTATTATTCCACTACTTGTTTCTACATTAGCACGAATTCGTTTTTATTACCAGAAGTTTATCTACCACAAGTTGTAGTGATCTCACTAGTACCAGTTAGAAGAACTAGTTTGCTACAGCCTACGTTGTAATATGAACATATGTGTTTTGTCATAGGTGTTTTTATAACAATATATTTAGTTGACCTTTATCCTATTTTGCTTCGGACTAATTCGCTTTTATAATGTTTTATATAATTTATTTATTTTTAGTAATATAAATACCCGCAAGGGGTAATAATAGTACACTAAAGCAAAATTATAATTACAGGAAACAAAAATATCAGTATATACACATAATGCTTACAGACTAAGTTTTTTAATTTTAGAATATTATCATGGAAAAAATCAAATTCAGAGTAATAACCATCACAATATTTAGGCAGACGATATAATGGACTATTTAATAGGTAAAACCAGCGGGCGTAGAAAAGCAAGGGTTGCCCTAGATTTAAAAGAACTGGCCACAGGTCCACTTCAAAAATCCTAACATTTTTAAGCTCTATTTTAGACAGTAATAATATGAGGATTAAATTTCAAGCCCTTTGAAAAAAGCATACCTAAGTTTCTAATATCACTAAGTTGTAGTTTAAGGCACCATTTCTCTATACACTGTATAATGCAAGTCAACTTATTTATATTTACGAGATAACGAAATACGAATACATTTATCATCGGACCATTAATTGAACACCAGTCGCATAGGCGTCTAAACAGGTTGTATTGTACAATATCTTTAATTTACGATGTCCTCTTTTAATAAAATAGGCAAATATACTTTTGATCATCTGCAAAAAAGAAAAATTACAGTTATGAAACATTTTTCCAGCATCATTAATAAAAGCTAATAACAATAACGGCGACAATTGGCCACCTTATGGAAGCTTTGAGGATGCCGGCATTAGCCAAGATGTGATATTATAAATTTTGTCTGTTCGAGTACGGCCAGACAAATAACTACGAAGCCAGAACAAAAAAGGATCTCTGGAACCCATTTGCTTAAGTTTATCAATTAAGAAGCAGTGGTTAACCTAGTCAAAATCCTTCCTAAGATCAGTATAAATCACATCTATCTGGTTGCTCTTTGACTCAAAGGCTTTGATACTTAGTCAAATAAAAACGAACTATAAAATAACAAATTTGTATTGATAGATATTGACTGACGAAATCCGTGTTGCTCACTTATGAGAATATTACTAAGTACATTGCAGAGGTTAGATACTAATTATTTCTTCAAAAGCTTAGGTAGCATGCTTAGCTTAGAAATAGGTCTATAATTACAATTAGGCGGGCTAGTGTAGATTGAAGAAAAGTGTCATGAGAACCTTTATGGTACATTACAGTAGGCAAAGCTAACATTTTTGTTAAAGTTATTGATATAACGCGAAAGTAACCTGGGATTATGAATAAAATCGTTCTGCGTTTTAGTTAGGTGGTTTGAATAACAAACACGCCGCTTAAAACAGGCTCTAATATAAGGAAAGAAAAAATAATCATCTCGGTTTAACGATTGATTACAATAGTCAATATTAATTACATCTAGTTTGGTTCTGAGACCACGGACATTTTGGTAGTAAATTCGATGTTTTTAAAATTAACATTAAAAGATAAACTATAATTAAAACACAAAATATTGTTTTCAATTACCTCTTGCGGTGATTAATTAGTTTTTTTTAACTAACGACGGAATTCCTCTGTTGTATTTGATCAACCAGCCATTATCACCAGAATCCCGTAGACGTTTTAACTCACATCTCAGGTTATGTATAACACGACGTTGAGCGAGAGTTAAATCTTCTCCAATCCAAATAGAACGCCGACTGTCTAATTGTCTAAGGTTTGATTTACTTTGAACCCCATCAATGACGTCAGAAGAGGACTGAAGTTGGACCAAAATGGGACGGGGTTTTGTCATCGATTTACAGTTAACAACCGTCGTATTAAGATCCAAATCATGAAATACATTTTTAGCTGTACTAATTAGTTCATTACCTGAGTCAGTAGAAGTGTCGACCACATTGAAAGCTAACACTCTGTTAGATCTAGTTAGCCTGTCTTTGGCCTTTTGTGTCACATCATTATCAGGATGCAAAGCAGCATGAGGTCGTTTTTCAAGGTGATCCAAACGAATTTTCAGCTCATCCATATATGCCTGTAGTGCGTCTATGTCAGATTTAATTTGAGCAAGCACATTAGATATGTTATTAAAAGCGGTCTTAAGTGAAGTTTCTAATAAATATAACTGATTATTGACATCCTTAAAACTAGCGTCATGTGAAGACTGAATATTATTTAAAGAACTCCATACATCTCCGAGCGTAATACTTTTTTTATTTGAGCAAATATTGAGAGTTTTTATTAGAGGCGAATCTCCTCTCTTACTTGAAGAACTCATTATAGATACAGCTAAGGTGAACTAATCACGTGATTACATAAACCGATAACTGTCGGTCCATCAATAACGTTACGATTGGAAATTTACGCGATTATGAAGAAACGGAGAACTAGCGACGTTCGGGTCAATGCCTACGAGTATAGTTCAAGTTCAATTCAATAATTATAACAAAAAAAAAACAAAACTAAACGTGAATAATATAATATCAGAATTTTCATCTAACTCTTATCTCTTTATACTTAATATGAGTTCATACATATTCTGCTCGACGCCAACGCGATTCTGGAGATAATGGCGGGTTGATCAAATACAACAGATGAACTTCATCACCGCAACAGGTATATTGCAAATAATATTTTGTGTTCTTATCATAATTTTTCTTCTAATTTTAATGTTAAAAACATGGTATTTTATTAACAAAATGTCCGTGGTCTTGGAACTAAGCAAGACGTAATCACTATTGACTACTGTAATCAATCTTACAAATATATAAGTATTATTTTGATAATAATGCTAAATTATGTAATGCTATTGTGTTCCTGCCATTCAATTTTATTGGGTTTTCTTAATGCTTATTTTGAAGCATTTTTAGCAAAAAAACTAAAATTTAGTTTACTATTATACTGAAATAGTAATAATAATATTATAACAACTGAGGTTTGGCGTAAGAGTTTGTGAAATATTCCTGTAAAAAAGTAACCCGTTTTTATTTAATGTTTTTTGGTTAAACGGCTACAGCGAGATCAGGTGAACATAACAGTCACAGATAACTGAAAAACTAGAATATAATATTTAGGAAGTGATAGTTGTCTCCTATTGCTTTCGAAATAATCAGGTACAGCACACTTAGTCGTTACCATCATATTTTGTATGGTTTTAAAACATAAATAGGTTTTATACTTCACGTTATTATTAGACGCAATAATTTATAATATAATGTTACATAAAACCACAAACATCTATAATTAGTAGTATCTTATGAAGATGTTATTAGAAGCTATTAAGGTGGTAAACTATAGTAGGTAACTATAGTAAAGCATCTAACAGTTAAAATTCTTTATTCTACATTTATTTTCAATTTGATTTGATCCAGGCTACAAGACATCTAGAGACGATACTAATTGTAAGAAAATAAATATAATATTTCTGTTGAATGAAAGATATTGGACCATTTAGGTGTAATCTCACCAACACTTATCACTATCCTATTCCTCTCTCTTCTCTATTGTGTTGCAAAAGCGCCACGCAAATTTTGAAACTCCCAACCATAAGACCTATTTATGTTGAGTCGTCTAAATACAAATCTTTGGAGTACAACATACAGATTACGTTACTTAGTAAATAGAGAAAAATGTTACAATTAAAAATTAAAACTATTTTTTAAGGTTTTTAAAATTAAAAATTAAGACTCACCTATTGATTTACATAAACTTCAGAATCCTTAATAATATAAACTATGACTCAGATATTTTCCTGGACGGCCCTGAAAATTGATAACCAGTTTAACAATAATACATTTTTTTACGCTAGTATGTATACATGATTAGTAACAACTATGGGTAGAATATAAAATCCTTAGGTCAAATTCGACCGTAGTTTATTTCAAGCGTTCAGATATTATTTAACTATTATACAAATAGATACACGGATATTCTGTAAAACAAATACCTAGTTATTTTAAATGTAATTAAATTAAATTAAATTTCAAACTTAAAAAAAAGAATAATAGGTAGGTATTTGTTATTTAATAATTATGATACATTTATGTTTAGCGTTTTGCTTAGTGTTTTAAAGTTGTGACTCATCATTTGAAATATAAGTAAGAACTGTTGTAGATACTAGATACTGATTTCAGGTGCGATGTTACATGAAATTGTTTTAATAGGTATATATATATATATTAATGCTCTTGTATTTTTTAACTTGAAAAAAATCCTTTAACATAACAATATTCCAGACTGTAAAACAGAAAATTAATTTTTCATAATGTTAATAGTTGTTTTGTGTTTTATGAATTATTCATGCCATTTACAAGAAAAATGTATTATTTTTTATAATTGATTTTATAAAACTATAAAATAATAATATACCTACATAGGCCATTTAGTCATTAACATGTACGTACCTATTAACCATACGTTTTAAACATTTTGTTTTAATATTTATGTTGTCTACAAAATAATAATTAAAGCGTTTCGGGGTAAAGTGATCAAGAGACAATCGCTAATGCAGCTCCCTCTTATCTGAGTTTTAGCCGGTTGCTCACCCTGACATCAATAAACATTGCCCAATCGAAGAGTTTTCGTTATTTTTCATCAGATTCGTTTTTGACACTTAGATCCCTTTGTCTCGGAGCGCTTAAATTGTTTTGCTTTATTTATAATATCGAATTCTACGGTTAATAGTTGTCCGCCGGTGGGGAATTTTAATAAGTTGGAGTAATTTTTAAGATATTGGTTTAATGTGTCTATATTTAAATGCAAACTATACCAATATTTAGCCGAGAAAAATGTTTACCGAGTGCTTATCATCGTTTAGAGCACTAAAACAGTAACACATAGTCGGGGGTTGAGTATAATATTGTAGTCGACTCACGGGACGTGATAGAATGCAAAAGACTATGGGTGAAAAAAAAAATGAGAAATTGGGTAATCCATTTGACACCCAAGTGATTCCTCACAAAACGTATTTTAACCGTAGCTTTTTTTTCTCGTAAGGTAGTTTTCTTTTGTTCAAGCGAAAACATTAAAAAAGTGATGTATCGGTTCTTGTCACTTTATGCGCGGTGACAAATATCTTATCTGCAAATGCTAAACTTGACTTGTCCACCCTTCCGTCGCGTTTAGCGGTTCTCGTTACGTGACAACGTTTCTTTTATTATTATTCATTTTATTTTTTGTCTAAACTTCTTGTTCGGAACTACAAACGGTATTCGTTCTTTCTTTCAAAAACTATACGTACAGCATGTCCACTATAGTTCGCCCATCGTAATACTTACATTTGATTGCTTTTTTTTTGTTAAAAATACGTAACGCTAATATACTTCTCGTATTATGTTTCCACTTCACTATAAAAAAAAATGTTTTTACATAAATTGGACTGTAATTCTAAACAGCAGTTTATATAAAAATTGACCTGTGTTTAAATGAAAATAACGACCGGTCGAAGGGCAGTATAGGCTGAGTAGGGCATTTTTTTATTTGATCAACGAATAATAAATAATTTATTCGAATAATCTCTTTATTCGACCAAATCTAAGATGATTTATTAGAATAAAAAAAATTACTCGAAGGTCATGCGAATACAACAATTATTTAAATAATTATTTAGAACATTTTGTATTTAAATAATTTTTTATGCCCAACTCTGAGTACAGGTATAGGTATTATATTATTAATTTAAGAACTAATAATACTACTGGGCGGCGAACAAAGATGACATAAGTAAATCAATACTTATGGCAAGGCCATTTCCCCTTGTGTGGTTATCGTGTTTTAACTTTACTGATTATAACTATGTGTGTCAGGTCAACCCTGCCCAGTTCCCCACCATGTATTATGTTATTAACATCCTACACCGTTGGAATCCTATGCCTGCGCTCCTGTCCCTTTCCCGGCGGACGAGTTTCCCGTACAAAGTATACTCGATATGAACTGCGGAGGACATAATTTTCGTCACGCCATTCTCCTGGGAGTGTTATACATACACACACGCACAATAATCATTCGTGGATCTACCACCAAAATGTATTTACGGAGAGTTCATTTGAAGAGATTAATTGCATTTTTAACCTCTTAATAAATCTATTTTTGTAAAATGAAAGTTTAAAAGCTGAGAAACGATTGTGAAATACATTTGGTCGAATGGTCACTAAAATTTCAGTTTTTTTTACAATAATTGTTACCCGCTACTGAGTATACGAATGAAACACATTTTAAAAATGTATAACGTAATAAAATGTATCAACATATTTTGTCAAACCTCATATAAATAAGTTTTATCCGTGCATAAGTAAAACAAAAACAAAAACTTTAATAAGACCTCAATAGTTTGTGGGTTAAATAATGGTTGTTTTTTTAATTTACAAATTTCGAATGTTCGTAAAATGACAATATTTTAAATTGCACAATAACTTACATAACATTACTAAAACAAGTTTAAACACTGGGTTTAGGAGCTATTAATTTTGGAAGTAGATTTCTAGATAAGTCGAAAACACGTCAAACTGATTTTCATTTAACTTTAAATGCAAACAATTATTTATCGATATTGAATTTTAAATAATATATGATTGAACAACTTTTAGGCTAATTTAGATTACAATGATGTATTAATTTATTATTAAATTATAAATTTTAAATAAATGCCATGAAGTTAAAAAAAGATTGTGTAAAAAATTTAAGCACGAATCGTGAAAGTTATTCCTTTGACAACATTTATTACCATCAATTAGTTACATAAAAATATAAAATACCTGAATAATTAAACTATATAGTACTCGTAAAATAACCCGTTATGCGATTGGTAATCAATTAAAATTTATATTATTTGTACCTGATCAAACCGCTTAGCTTATTGCGTGATGGTTGGACAAAAACCGACAAGAAAATATTAAAAATAAAATAAAGACTCTCGTACCCCCAGGGTACGACAGTTTTGAAGGCACATAAAGGCAGCCTAATCAATGTCCTATATACATTTTTAATTTATCTATTTTTCGTCAAGATATATAAAATTAAAGTTGACGGTTGAAAAGTCGGTACACTTTTTTTTGGGGGTTTTTTTTTTTGATTTTGAAGATGAAGGAGTTTAACCCATCAAAGTACCATCTGCATACGAGTTTAAATATAGATCTAACTCTATAGAGATATTACATGAGTTATTCGGTCCATAGGATAATAAGTTATCGTGTCTACAAACAGAAAAAAAAATTCACATCGTAGCTAAAACAATTAAGTATTAATTGTTTTTTCTTTTAAAATTTGAGCAACTTTGTTTCGTAAAGCTTAAGTATGATATATAATTTGAATAAAATTATAGACTTGTATTATATGATAATGAAACCTGACAAAATAATTGTTGGGAATGTAATGTACTTAAATAACAATATTACAATGAATTAGCTGAACATTTTTTTTGACATATTTTTTCTTATAAACTATTGATTTACAAAATATGCATTTTTTTAATTATTCAATAAACATACTACAAAATATTTGAAAATCAGTTAAACTATACAATAAATACAATTTTAAAATATTATATTTAAGGGGATTCGATACCGGCCGTTTTTTTCAGTCAAAACACATCATGTTTTGTCCATTGCATAGGCCGAACCAGTAATCCGATAAGTAATTTGAAAAAAGATTTGAGTTCATCATGAAGTTTACTTGAGATCCTATATACTATTATATTAACAAACAATTTCACTATAGTTATAGATCAAAATGTTTTCTTTGAAGTTACTATAGTTTTAATAACGCTAACATTTAAAGCAACCCAATATTTATATGATATATCTTGACCGTAGTAATCAACACATATAGATTCAACATATTTCAGTATAGTTGTTAACTTTGCAAAAAAAAATGTATCTTTTTTTGTTATATAGTCATTAAATATTTATTCCAACTGAATGACAGTCAAAAACAAAAACCAATTTAAATTATATTCCTTTTGAAGAAATATATACATATATTTTTTTGAAAAGACGCTATTTGGACTGATGACCACTTAAATAAATAATAATTTAGTTAGATAAGTGTGTATTTAAAGGCTAAAACATAACAACTATATTAATAAATCGTATTTAGTTAAAGTTTATGTCGATTGTGAAAAACCCCACTAACACTATTATATGACAATTACAGGACTTTTATTTTCGGTAGGCTAATTAAAAAATCAGTGAACTATATAATAATACGAGTAACCGGTTTTAAAAATGTCTCCGTTACTAGCTCATTTGAAGAAAAAGAAACGTTAACTGTGTAAGATAATAATCTGGTACCAATCAATCAACTTTGTATACCGAGTAAAAATGTTTTATTTCTACTTGTTATGTAGGAGTCAATTCAAGTATGGACCGAAGATCAAATCCAGACGGTTACTAGGTGGGGGTTTATTTACTGTACAAACCAACCGCTTTATTAGACTAGTAATAACGTTAGAAAACATCAGGCATCAAGGCGATCAACCACCGTTCTGACGATTAAACGATGCCGTGTAACGCTTGTGTATGCTCATGTTAGTTACGTTTATCTGCTGCAGTTTACATTCGCCTGCGAACCGTCGCCTAGTACACGCCGCATTTAAGATTATACATTAAAGCCCAAATATATTTATAGATATTTAGCTTCCTTTAAAAAACCGCACATTATGGCTGCTGTCACATCCAATGACAATTCCGTTCAGAACGACAATACAGGTGAGTAAAGTCTGAAGTTTTTTTTATACAAAACAAATGCAATCTGTCTCATTAATCAAGTGCAAATCGGTAAAATTTGTGACGAATTTACAGTAAAACTAAACATTTCAATTTCATTTTTTTTAACCATACAAATATAATATATAGAAGTGAGGGGGAACAAGGTAGCTTTGAAATTACCATAAAAAAGAGCCGCTGTCAAGCTAGCTAAAAATATGTAATGTTAAAAATTAGTCATGTCGGGTGTGAACATAAGTTTTTATTCATTAAAAGGGGAGTCGGTACTTGATTAATACATTTAAAAACATCAACTCAGAAAAATACAACCATAATCGTATTACTATAACGAATGTTAATGTGTGCAAATTGGTTTAAAATATAAATTTTACATTATGTACAATCAAATTCAGAACAACTTTTCCAATGTGACCTCCCTTTACTTGTTTTTAGTCAACAAACACTCGTTCGAAAATTAATTAGTTTTTTAAATATCAATCGATTTTAACAGTCAATTAAGGTTGATTTTTATCAATTATTATTAAGCAAAGTATTGAAGTCGTGGATAGGTCGTATAACGATTTTAGTAGCTACTAAAATTTGTTGTGTTCAAATTTACCAAACCCTTTTATTTTCGAATGTGAACAACTTACTAGTATTAAAATTGTTTATACCGGCGAGTTGCTCAGCGGGAACCGGTATCTTATATCAAGCTAGTTCTGTCTTGTTAACCTTGTACACGGTGACCTTCCACAAGGATCACATGATGTTGATACTATCAAATCTCAAAACCATCGAGATATTGCTTTTGGTCGACAGATTTATCCGTACTATTTAACCTCTGAAGGGCTGCAATCAACATACTTTTAAATATGAAACGGATATGTTTCATAATACTGAAGATTTTCAATGTCTAAACTCTAGGGGGCGTAGGCACTTCGCGGGCATAGGAATCGCTAAGCAATGTACCCAATAATATAATTCTTTAGGTAATGGCTGTTGTGCATTAACACATTTTTTCACACATTGTCTCAGGGATTGACTTACACAAATAATATAAATTGGAATCCGCTAAATTATGTATAAATCGCATAGATTGTGTTTAACTTGTAACTCACCAAACGCTTACAATAACAGCATCCGAACCCCAATCCTGTAGAGATTGGTCGATAAGGTTTCTACGGCTACACTTCGGTTTGGAAGGAAATAATATTCAACTATCGTACAAGAAGCGGACTTTGAATGTTTTTCGTTTTTTATTTGAAATTTATTTATTTGAATTCTACGACTCTTTTAAACGTTGGCGAGTTTCGACCCCTCCGAGTATTGGATCCAATCATAAAGGCGGAAAACGCATTCGAATTCATGATCCCTTCGACCCCAAAATCCCGGGGGACGGAGACTTTTAATTTTCAAACGGTAACCGGCCACCCCAAATGCTAAATATTCAAAACATATTCTAAATTTGTCTTATTTTACAAACGTACTAAAAGAATCCCGCGGGACGATAGTCCGGAATAGCAGAAATAAAACGAGTAACGTAGGTACCTATTCAATATCAATATTCAATATTAAACTAACTTATTCCTGTGGGTTAGATAGAGTCTAACGCAAATAATTTTACCCTCGATTGATACAAATTCAGATTTTACTGCTTCGTATACGTGCCCTATACAAGTTTTTGTTTTAATTGAGTTGAAATCTAATTTTTTCCCACTGTAAGCGCGAGAAGGTACATAAAGAAGTTGAGATTCTTAAAAGAAAGACAAACAAACGTTTGTTCATACAAATATTAGAGGGAAAAAAACAATAAAAAAGTGTCTTAATTAAAATCCTAGTCAAACCTTGAAGTTAGACCTTAGTTTAATTTTCACGCTTCTTTGTTTTTGTAAATATATTAAACTGGATTTTGGTGTATTTGGAAAAGAAATTGCTATAATTTCATAATAAAAAGTTGATTCAAATTTATTGGATATAGGAATGATGTTAAAAAAAACAGTTTTTAGTCAAATCAATTGTAATACTATATTAACACTTGGTTATGTTTATATCTATGTATTAATATGGCACTGTTTTTTAGGTAATATAAACTATACTATAATAGAACTTTAATAATAATATTTATATCTTATAAAATAAGACTGTAGTTAGGATTATATAAATTAAATAAACATTTAATTATCATTTAATAATTTTATGCTCTTAAGTAATTCTTAAATGATCAGAATTCTATTTTGTCAAACTGTTATTGCGTCAAACAATTAATTAATAGTTAATAAACTAATAGGCAAATTAATTAGTTATTGTTCTTGTACTCATATAAACGCTTTTCATAATACATTTGACAACCGGTATTTTAATGCGATTATCGGTCGTACACATCACTACTAGTCATCAGTCGTCATTGTTCAATAAAACCTATTAAATTTACAGAAACCGCCAATGTACCTTCACTCAACGTAATTATATTATAGTTGCTTGTGTCCATCAATTTATCCGCAGTCCATCCAACTATTCTCAATCAAAAACATATTAAAGATGCGTTTGCCTTTAATAGGTTGTACTTGAACACGCCACTGTAATATTTATTGTAATTTGATAGCACAGTGACGTCAGTAATTACTCCTACAAACTTGATTTAATTCTAAGTACAAAAAAGCGACTAATAATAATATATAGACTTATAAATGCAAAACAAAAACGGGTTAGTTAAATTGAATTCTAAGTGGAGCCGTAATTTATTAAAAAACCCTGATCGACATTAGTTACAGGTTTAAAACACGATGACCTTTGCTAATATATTAATGACAATATTATCTACTTATTCTATACATAAATTTGGTGCTTAAGCATAATTGACTAAGAAATATATTTCAATAATAACAAAAAAAATATATTTCCCGACTTCATATTTATTAATATTTAATATTTTATAATTTTTAAAATCTTAATTTCATATTTTTATAACCTTCTTTTTTTCTTTATTAAATAATACTTTTTCACTGTTTGCAGGTCCTGAGCGTACAAAAAGCATCATGGATTTTATTCCTCTGGTCAGTAGGATATTATTTGGATTCGTGTACACAATGTACGCATTTGTGCATTTAGCGATAATTTCCTATTATCCCACCGAGAAATCGTTAAAAAACAAAGTCGTACTCGTAAGTATATAATAATATTATTAATAATACGTAACGTAAATAAGACACAGTGTCAAGTCCCAACCAAAGCTATAATTATTATATTGCGAACCGCGAGAAGGAGAAATTTAATAGGCAGTACGTATTCTACAAGCCGGTCAAAAGAGAAACAACTTGTACCAACAACCTATAATTATTACTCTCATTATTATAGTTCATTCACTATTAAACACGGGCGTTTTTGGGGGGTAGAAGAGATAGAGGAAAGACAATACCCTCCCTAGGTTTATCATGTTTGTTTTTTAATTACATATAATTTAAAATAGTCTGAAATAATATATTATAGTATAATATCCCTATCCCTTGTTGTTTACAAACAAGAGTTTTTAAGGTGCATCTACACTAGCATTTGGCAAAGCACATTGTATAGGCAATTTTTCAAGAAAACAATAAAATTGACTATCATAATTTATGCTTATAAAAAACATCTGAAACAGGTCATTACTTTCATGAATATCAAAAACTTTAAATAACAAAATGTAAAATATAATTGAATTACGAAGAACGCAAATTAAAAATATTACTAATACTTTCGAGAAATGTGATTTGTTAACAAAGATTATATTTTAAAAAAACTTATAAGTTATAACATATGTCTAAAGGTAATTTAAATTTTAATCTTAATTGTATTTCAATCAATGATTGTACATTTTATTCAAAATAAATATAACATAATAATAATACTTACACTTTCAAGACGCTTCGTTTGCGCTGTATAGTTTCTACTTGAATCGCTTTCCTCTCGTATTTCAACGAGTAGAGCTATTATTATATATGTTTATAAGTAAAAACTGACCAAGGTAGGTAAACAATATTCAAACAAAACCTGTATTTGTAGACGGATATGAGGCGTAGCTTGGTCGTACGATTGTAATTGACGGCCAACGTGCGTCAAGGACATAATGCAAACCTATACATTTAATCCTGATTTCAGACTCCAGTTTTATAATAATATAGTTTTAGACGATTTAATATATTTTATATTCGACATCAGTTTGCCGTCGTCAATAAATATTCAACACTATTTAATACATTTAGATACTATTTTTTTCAAGTTTTAATGAGAATGGAAATGCGTTAGAGTAGCGCGCAAAGATAAAAATAGAGTTTTGCTTCCTCTGTCGTAACTTTGGAACGCTTAAACATAATTGAAATTTCAACATCATTAGTACTATGTAAATGATTTAAAAATGCCATAAAACACGTGTGTGACTGTTTAAGTTTCAAAAGTAGAAATCCTTTATTATGCCACCAAAAATCAGTCATCTATATATTATGGAGGGTTCAGAGCACAAGTGAACCAAGTCCATCAAAACTGATTTCCAGTAATTGACTCCTAAGTTGTTGTTCGCATAATCTACTCTGTGGTAAAATCACGTATACGTGTAGCCATTTTACGGCATTGATATAAACTAAGGACTTGGTTTACTGTGGCACTAAAAGATATTACTTCTTTGAAAACCCTGGCTTTTCGCGTAAACCCTCACAATGTGAAAAAATAGACTGGGTTCACTTTTGCACTTTCCCATACTTTGTCATTGTTTAGTGTAAACAATTATCGTTGTATAATTTGTGTTTTGCTGTGCTAAAATATGGTATTTGATAAACAATTTTAATTTTGATCTGTCCAGGTTACTGGAGCGGGCAGAGGTCTTGGCAGAGAAATGAGTTTGCAGTTGGCCAAGGAAGGCGCCAAAGTGATTTGCGTGGACATCAACGCGGATGGTGTAAAGGAAACGTGTGAGCTGATTAAAAGTGATAGAGGCGACGAAAAAGACATAACCGACTTCTATTCGACCAACGTGGCCGATTCGGCTCAGGTGAAAGAATTGGCAGAGACGGTGGAGAAAAAATGGGGTCAAGTGGATATATTGATCAATAACGCAGGAATCGTGGCCAGCACACCGTTAATGGAAGTTTCCGATGAAGGCATTCAACGAATGATCAACGTCAACCTAGTGTCTCATTTCTGGGTAAGTGTAAATATGCATACCAATTGTTCGTACTGGAAAACCCGGTCTCCTCAAAATCATAAGTCAGACTATTTATAAGACCGTTGTTAAATTATTTTGGTGTGAAACGAAAACCATTTCGTCGTTAATAGTTCTGTAGAATGTTTTAGGAGTTATAATAAACAATTTACAAACGCCCACGGTCCTTAGCTATGTACCCACCTGTATATGAAGCAGTTTTATTATCACATTATTAAATTATTCACGACAAAGAAAACATACTTTATCGTGACTCGAGTATAGTATATATTTTATAGAGTTATATAAGAATAGCCGTTCCCTATACCAAGCCGAACCAAAATGTTGACGAAACTGTTTCTCTATATTCCTCTATAATTTACACAGACCTTACACTATGAACTGTATTTTTCGGATGTATTATATTTAACTATTTGTATGTTTACAAATTTTCTCTCCGTTACAAGGACATAGGGATTGTTCAAAAGTATTTTTTTCACATAACTTATATAAAACAATATTTAATTTCTAACGTACAGCCAATTGTCGAATAATGGTTTTTACTTTTTAACCTTGGACGATATGATTGCTGAAACGTTTCAGTCGGTTGTCACGCATCGTCTGCCAGCTGTCATTCAACACCATCCAACACAACTACCGAAAGTGTGCCGTTTATCTCTGTAGGTTGTCCGTGGTTACGTTGTTTAACATTATATCTTAATTCTTAACGACTTTTAACTTAAAACAATGCCGGGGAGATATGAAAATTATTTTTTCTAGGTACAGAGAAGCCCCTGTACGGCAGGGTATTAAGAATACCACGGGGTTAGGTAAAGTCTAAAAACACTTACAATTTAATACCATTTATACACCGAGAAAGAAAAGAGACCTCCCGGGATAGCGGCATGAGCAACCAGGAGAAAACCTTAAACACAAGTACATTTAATTATTTATCTTATATTGGTTATATTTTATTCTATAGAGTTTTTATCCGTGAATTATACATGCACTCGTGTTCAAGGAGTATTTTGTTTTTACTTAAGTATTTAAACTTAAGGCTGAACTCAGTGAATAAAAGTTAATGGAATGGTAAAAAAATTAAAGAGAAAAGAATAATTTCTTATACAAAATGCGATATTCTGTTATCGTAATAAGAAACTTTACTATTCTAAACAATTAAGGTAAAATAAGAATTATTAAAAAGTTGGGAAAGTTTGTTATAAACTGATTAAACTTATAGATTTATTTATTATTATTATACCTACATTATTCTTATTATTATAAATTATTTATTAAGTAACATAATATTGAAGGTTTTTAACTCTGGACGTTATGAGTGAGCAGCTATAAGTCTGTGATCGAATATAAAAATACACAACAGCGCGTCAAGGACGGACAGGAGGTGAAGGTACAAAGGATGATACATTAAATTTGCATTTTGGACGTGACGTCGAGGGAAGATAGAGAAAAGTAAAACTCTGCCAAAGAAATGTCCCTACAGGAATATTATCCGCGGTATAAGCGAAAATATCGTTATGGCGGTGGCGTATTCTCTCATAATAATATGCGGAAACAAAACCACTTGGGTCGTATCACGTTTGTGTGTACGTCTGCTTAAATCCCTATGGTCACATACCTAATGTTATTTTTCTTAAAAATGAGTCACGACATCGTTTGAAGGATAAACAGTTTCAATGTAGTGAGCAAATTTCAATAAAAAACTTCACAAGAAGAGTATTTTCTCTCTGTTAAAAAATAAATAATAATAAACACAACAATGTAATAATTATTCTTCCCTTACTCTTTGATTACTATTAAAGAATTTAAGCGATTACTTGTTCTATAAAATATCTAGACTTATATAAATTACTTATGTATTTGTTATTATTATATATTATGTCTTGTGCGGTTTATAAATCCAGTGGCGTAATTTGGTCATGTTTGTGAGGGGGGGGGGATAAAATAAAAATTACATACATTTTACTCATCACCCCTTCCCTCCCCACAATTTTTTTTTGTATGTATCATAAGAACTGCTTAATACAACCATTGTGATATGTATAACGTCATAGGGGGGGGGGGGGGGGGTAAGACACCAAAATCCCCCCCCGTACTTACGCCACTGTATCAATCATGTTACGATGGATAGTTGAAAAAGTTCAATATAAAGCGATTATTATACATTTTATAAGGAATAATAAAAAAAAAAACATCACAAAATACAGAGAACCCCTGGCTTTGAGTTTTCGCGCTGCCGCAGCTGTGCCAAGTTATCTGGCAATGACTGTATCAGATTTTTATTTATTTGAAAATAATAGACTCCCAAACTATTGTTTACAACACCTATTGTCTGAGGACTATGTTATGAAAAGTAGTAATTTGCGTGTACATGAAGAATACTTGTACCTACACATGAAAAAATATTGTATCTTTGAATTCTCAGGACTCAGAGATTGGCCTTTCTCGTCAAATCTCAATTTATAGTTACAACTTACATAATGCCTTGCTTTTTATTCAATGTAATAAAACTATGCAGGTATATTTACTAATGATATATTTTTATCTACATTTTTACTTACAGATGGTTCGCGCGTTTTTGCCGGCAATGTTAAAACGCAATGCTGGGCACATTGTGGCGACTTCTTCTATGGCCGCGTTTACTTGTGCTGCCAACATTGCACCGTATGCAGCCACCAAATTTGGAGTCACCGGTGTGTACCTATGAAATAACTCTGTAATCTAATTAGAATGGTCCAAATACCAGATGCTTACAAGTGCCTCGCCACTGACCATTGAGCTCTAAACAAAACTAGATACATATTGTGACTTTTTTAGTTTTATGGCATTCCTAAATCCACATGCCCAACGGTAATGTCTTATTTTGCATTTTCTTAGGTTTCATGGCCAGTCTCAGGGAGGAGTTAAGAGCCAATCCGAATAATAAAATTAAGACAACCGCTATCCATCCGTTTTTCCTGGACTCGGCACCGATCAACGTGAAACACTGGGACGTCAAGTGAGCGAAAATATATTATTTGTGTTTATTATTGTACAAGTTGTACGAATGTTTTTGAGACATTTAATTTGACATTAAATTTGTATCATTCAGGTCTGTATTGCCCAGCTTATCCATACCTCAAGTAGCTAAGGCCGCTATTACTGGAATTAAGAGAGAACATGAAGTCGTTTCGGTCCCGGAGTTTTTGAAATTCACCATGTGTTTCGTATGGTAGGTCACAGACAATATCGTATAAAATGGTCACTCTTCTTGATTTATAGGAAAATTTATGAAGATCCATTACAATTTTGTAGCATATCGATTTTGATTGTGTTTTTATTTTTATTTCCACAGGCTTGTGCCACAAATCGCACAAGACTACTGGAGGGATACGTTTAAATCGCAAATAGACACAGTTTGAACATGCATGTAACCATTACAAAATGAAAAATAAGAAAAAAGTGTACCTTGGGTAGGTACATTTAAATGTAGATACATTTATATTATAGCTATATTATTGCAATAATATTATATTACACCTAATAATTATAATGGTAAATTTTTATAATTATTATTAAAACTGTTGGTATTAATTCATAAGATATAGCGACTTCAATAAAATACCATTTATATGTATTTACCATTAATATGTATTTACAACATCGTCAAAATTTTACATGACATGAATTTGTAAAAAAAAATATACTACGATTCATATAACTAATAATAAAATCAATTTTGTACACCTAATTATTTGTTGGTTGTTATAAATAGTATTATATTAAAAATTAAACGCATACTTATATTGTTTATTGATTATTTTCATTTACTACCTAATAAGTTATTATATATTAATTTATGTAATAAATATAATCTAGGTAAACAAATTATAATTATACTTTGTTTTTTTTAACTGTTATTAAAAAGCCCCTAAGGCAGTATTTGACAAAAAGTTAAAGTTTGAAAATATAATGTTTAATTTATTGCTTACAATTTTGTATACGAGTTCGATCATTTATCGATGACAAATGCAACCAGTAGAGATAATCGGACTAGTATTAAATATTTCTTCCTTTCTATTGATAGTTTTCATAGATTTTAGATTTTTTACGTTTCTATTTGCCAAAATAGGAGTTTGGGGACTTACATAGCATAGTATAAATTGGTTTTGTTTTATTACTTTACAATTTTGTCAGCTTCGGTTATTGAATACAAATTGTAGATCTGTATAGTTTTATTTCCAACGAAAAAAATTCATTGCTGTGTTTCTGTTAGGCATGTTTTTTATTATTTTTTTGGGTGGGGGCGAAGCTGCGAGGTAGCCTGTTAAATCTAGAATGTATTCGTAAAATTAATTCATTTAATCAATTTCGTTTGGAGATTGTGGTAAGGAAAATGCTTTTGATATGTTGTTTTACAAATACAATAGCGCCATCTATCAATAGAAGAACTGATATCTAAAGCGCAATACAATTGATAGATAGCCTACGTCGTGTAAAAAGACAGCCGCTCATAAATGGGTGCCAGAAATTCAATAGCGCTAAATCTATAATAATTCATTCTTGCGAAAAGAGTGCTATGGCCTATTATTATACACAACATACCAGTTCCAGTTCTAAGCTGTGCGACCAACATAGGCGGACTTAGGGGTTGATTTTTGGAGAGGCTTTAATCCCAGACAATATTTAAACACTAATGTAGCCTACAATATCTTTATTTTTCGTAAATTTTACACTTTACGTATGTGTGGGCATATGTATGCAATATTTTGTCAATTTTTTTCATTGATGCAATACCTATGTATATTATTACAATCGAAGTTGATTATCAACTGATAACGAAATTATTACTATATAGTACATTTAATTTATAAATTATAAGTATAAATATAACAACCAAAGCCGCTACTGTAGTAGTGTTAATAATTTTTTTAATTAAAAATTAGCCGATATAAAATTACATTGAGTTGGTTTTTATCAAACTTCCGCCAAAACTGAGAAAAATAGGTAACTTAAAAATTTATATAACTAGAAAAAAATAATATTTGTACGCCTTAAAATTAGTTGGAATGTACTTATATGATATTTTTTTCCGCCACAATTATCGTATCTATTTTTCTTTTCTAGTTTTATCTGATAATATAAATTTATAGTTCTCTATTATAAAAAAAACATATTTTATATTGTTATTAGTGGTAATTGTCAGCTAAGCAAAGATTAAAATATCGAAAAATATGATATTAGATTTAAATATCACACAAAGATGTCTATCTTAAGAATCTATCTTAATAAAAAAAAAGTATATATCTAACAGGGAAAAAAATGTACCCAATGAACTTAAATGTACTTTACATTATTTTGTCTATTTATTTTAGCTAAAAAATGTGAAAAAAAACTAAAAATCTTGTTTTATGTTCTCGACGAGGTGAGAAAAGGGCTAGAATACTATTATTTCCATCCACATCGTCTATAATTTAAAAAACAAATAACACAAAAATTATTATTTATTACATTACAAACTAGTTTTTGGTTTCACTATACTTAATGGATGAATTAAATATTTAGGTTAACAATTGACTTCTAAAAGTTATCCTAAACATTTATCCTTTAAAATAATACCTACTGTAAAATTGTTGTGTTTTAATTTACTATAGTAATTATAATTCAACTTACGTATATAACAACCTCCACTTGCCAAAACAAACCGAAATATTTTTGATGTATTAAAAACACTATCTGAACTATTTGTCAGTAAAATAGACAATGATTTGATTATACTTTTAACATAAAAAAAATAAAAAACATTTCATTTTACCACGGGGTTTAACTATTTTTATATAATCTGCGATTAGTTTGCTTTATTTTTAATATATATATATATATATATATATAATATATATACAATGTTTATATTTTGTATTTGTTTATACTTAGCTGTGGAAAAGTAGTCTACAATACAATAACAACCTTTCACCTCACCCTCCCAATAGGTCTTGCCACCAGACGGTTGGCGGCCAGCCGCCAGAATAATAAAACATTAGAAGTTGTTTTGTGTAAAATGACACATAAACCACAATCAATTTTATCACAAAGGCACATTTGAAAAAAAATTGTTTTAATACTTTTTTAGGTAATAGAAAATTTAATAAGAATTTTACTGAAATAAAAAAGCCAATTGGGTTTGGGTGGGCTAAATCACATAACGAGGGAGGGGCTAATGCCCCTTTAGCCTACCCCTAAGTCCGCCTATGGCGACCAATACGTTTTTTTGCAGCTTTATAATCATTTCTTTTATCTTACGTTTATTTACAATGAATTGAAGTATAACTGTTATAATAAAAATAAACTATTCTCTTTTTTACATTAAATAATATTTAATATATTTATTTTAAATATTGCATAAACACATATTAAATATATTATGGCTATAATCTTTTAACTATAAATTTATTGTATCCAATATACATACATGTATAGTGATATATTAACCATAATTTTAGTTGGTCCAACTATGTATTTTTTCTATTTAAAACAGCGATAAAGTCAAATTTAGGAGATTGAACTTGTGCTTTAAAGTTATTAGATAAAACATAATTTACTTTATTTTTTAAAAATGCACACACTATGCCAAACCAGTTTTTTTTACAAAATATATAAGTATTTTACATATGAAAATGAAGTTTTTACTTAGGTATAATTTTAGAAGTACCTAAGTTATCCGATTTCTGTCTATCATTATTTTAAAAGTTAAAAAAACAGTAATTTGGCATACCTATAGTTATTTGATTTAAAAAAATTAATAAATATAAAGTCGTTTCTAACTCTTAGCAGGCGCGGATACAAAGGGGCCATGGGAGCAATACACCCCAAATCTCAAAAATAAAAGAGGCTGGTGAAAATTAATTTAGGTACACGTATATAGTAATAAGAATATATTTAACTTTATCTTCTATAGGATAATATTAAAACTTGCATTAGAAAAATACTTAATTATTCTTATTACATATTTCTATATTTTCTATATTTTGTAAAAATGATATTGGTTTTCAGTCAATTCTATTTAAAATTTGTTTTTGTTTATTTATTACAATACAAGTTTAAATTATTTATTGAAGTTTACTTTTTGTAACTAAAATATAATGAAAAATATGGATCATTTAGGGCACCAATAGTCTGCACGTAACATTTTCAATTTTGGTCTACTTAAATAAATAATTTCGAGGTAAACTTCGTCTCAATCATAATTATCCTGATTTCGAAAAATGTTAACACAGTAAACCCTGGTATTCTGTATTGGTATTATTTGATGCCCCCCCCCTCAATCAGACATCCTAAATCCGCGCCTGACTCTTAGGTAAATTTAAAAGTAAAAAGTTATTCGAATATCATCTTTATCAATAATATCTGACTACTCTATTTTTCGGGATGGGTTTCAAATGTTTTGTTACACATGTATACCTTAATAATTAATTAATGATTAATATTATTTGAAAAAAACAAGCCTAGTCATCGACAGAAAACAGTATCAATACACCTTAGTTGATGTGCATAATTGAGACTACAATACATTTGGAATAACTTCTGTTTTTAGTAACTACACATACCGGTGAAAACACCCAAGGGGTGTTTTCACCATTTTTTTTATGGTTATTTTAATGTTATTAGTTATTACATACTGTAGGTGTAAATAACTAAATACAAATTAATATTATGTTTTTTTTTGGTATTATTTTCATGTGCAATTTTTAAAAACATGCCGATCTACATATTAAATTGTAGGTAGATGGGTATATACTATATGTAATATTTAATTAAGTTAAAAAATAAAATATTAAAAAACAAACCTTGTCGACGATTGTTAGGTACTAATTTTTGCTGCATAAATAGTCACCGAATTAGAACACATATGATTTTTCTACCCATAAGTATCACCCTGCGCCTTCTGCCTTTTTCTCTTATAATACTTTACATATTTGATTTTTTTTTGTTATCAACCCTTTAGTTTTAATATTTTATTGTCATAACTGGTAAAAGCGCAAGATTGTGTAAATCTTAAGCTATATCGGTTAAAAAGGACAAATCCTTGTGCTTAAAAGAAATAATTAGCCTAGTTAGTTGATAAAAACAAATATCATAAACTCAAATTAGGACATTTGATGTTCTTTAATACATTAAAAGTGATCGTCGTTATGCACTAGGTTTCTATATACAAGTGACTAATATATGTAAGCTATAGGGTATAACAAGTAATAATATAATAAAGAAATGAATATTTAAACCCTGACTATAAAAATAATACAATGCGTATACGTATTTCGGCAACAATGTTGTCATCTACAGCGCTAATGACAGACTGAGCAATCTATCCAGTTAACTATATATTTAGTTAAGATAATAATATAATTGTTATAAATCCTATATAAAAATTAATCTGTTAATAAATCAGATCATGGCGATCCATTCTGTATATCTCAATATATTTTCCATCTATATTTAATTTTTTCTTAATACAAAATTCCTTCATGCATAATAATTATATGGATAATAGTATAATACAATTAAACATTTTTGAATGAAGTATTAATTAAACTTGAGGATATTGCAAAATACAATTTCAGGAGATTGAAAAATGTTTAGGACGCATATGAACCACCTACATAACAACAAATAAAATCGTTACACATGTTAAGTAATAAGTGTTTTAATATAGTATACATGTATGTAAAATGCAAAATGCATTCATTACATTAAAGTAAACACCATTATTAAACTTAGATGCAATATGACTTATGAGTATGCT